TGCCATACCGGTGCGTGGATTGAGTGTGAACCTGTCTTGCTAGGCGATAGATACATGTTATTCGATAATGAGAGCCTGGAAAACCACCCACAAGGGCTGGACGCACCGGATCTAGGCAAGCTGGCGACACCACACTTGTCGCCTATGCCGAGCACGTTTGAGTTTTGCTACTACTGCGACGATGATCAAGATGCCGATAGAGGCGGATCGGTTAACAAGTCATTGCGATTGTGTTGCAGAGATAAATCTGATGCCCAGCGTACGTATGAGTTGCCCGTGTTTTTGGATTTTGGACTGTGCTGACCGCTGGCTACATAGTCGAATGGGCACTTGGTTATTTGGAACAAAAGAGACGCAAAGACTGATGTTATGGTTAAGTGCGTACCGGGAAATTGTGAGTAATGTTTCCGCTGTGACGGTACATCATCCCCAGCGATGGTCTTGGCTGGCGTTTTTACGGTCTAGGTTCCGTTGGGTTTCTTAAGGAACGTCAGAGGCCATGGGGAGAAAGAGAAAGAGAAAGAGAAAGCAAAGGTGTGCACACTTATAAGCTAGATATCAGGGATATTCGGCCATGGGCCGCCATTGATAGATCTTTTTGCGCCGTGACGCAGTGGTCAAACCTGATAACCACTGTGACAAGGCGTGTATATTTCGCATACATTGCAAAGCTGTACAGGAAGCATCTATGATGACCAACATATATCACCAATTGTTCTGTTCGTACACATTTTTCATTGAGGAGTTTGTTTGTGGTGGATGTCTGTCGGAAGTGTTATTGGTACTACGGGATGGAAAAGGGAGCGAGTTTAAGCTACCTAGCTAGCCAGACAAGTTGCCATGCCCACAGGTGATGATGGGCGGGTTATTCTTCTCGATTATACATTTTGCCATGATCAGAGGCACAAAGTAACTCAATCTGCGTAGTCATGAAGTGCAGTCGACACCAGAGCTGCCTCACCACAATTCAGTGTTGGATACAGACTGCAATGTGGTGCAACAGGACGAAGGACGCAATACCTTTATTTGCCAGTTTAATGCAGATAAGAAACTAAGTCAAAAGCGGAGGATGTACTTATATTCTGGTGACCCCTCCAGATGGCGTGCTTGCCGGTGCATTGCTCTCCTCATTTTCTGATCCAAGTTTCGCTGTTTAGAGTCCCAGCATCATGGCTCGACGGCTTCTCACCAAAATATGACAAATGACCAGGTGTGCAAGAATGTTGTCTTTATCTTCATAATACCATCCCGAGCTCGGATGTCGTATCATTCTCACCACGACTCTGCCGACCAAGGCCGTCGGATAGATGCCAATATCGAAAACCTACAGATTCTCCATCCGAACAACAGCCATTGCTGCGGGTGCCGCGCAAGACAAGTCTATGAATTGTGGCAACGGCCTGCACTTGATAACTTGATATCTTGATTCCGCATCCCGCTGTCCTCACGGCCAATCGTCGCGGCCGAAATCGCACGCTCATTCAACAGCGTCCTTTGCCCACGAAGCTATCGAGATCTGACATCATTTTCGGCCAATCAAAGGGGAAGCAAAACGTTTTAAAGCCTGCAGGGTTCATTCGCGTAGGGCAAAACACGGAAACATGGGCGTGTCATGCAGCGAGTCGCACTCGATGATCCACCGACATCTCGCGGGTTCAATGCGCGTTGCGGTCGCCTCGGTCACGCAATCGACGGCAGCCATCACGACGCCGGGTCTAGCTTGGTGAGCCTTGCCATCACGTCAATCCCCCACCATGTCTCATACGTGCCGGGCATGAGAGGATGCAGACCAATCTCGCACCAGATTTTGCCGCAGTCAAGCCGGGAGGTGCTTGTGGTTTTTGTTCCCATCCCGGCCAGGGCTCCGAGGTGGTGCGGTGCCGGTTTACATATTTATACCGATGCTGCCCTTTTGGAATACACTCGCAATGAGCACATGCGCCCCTCTGCCAGACGATTTTTTTTCTTTTCTTTTTTTTAATAAAGAATAAAAATAAAAAAATGTCTGAGCGAGACAACGCGGAGGCTTTCCCGGCCTCCAAGGGCGGTGCAGTTGCAGTTGCGAGTGCGGTTCCCTATCGACGGCAGAAATGGTGGCAGCTGGGCGGCAAGGACGTTAGCCATGTGTCCATCGACGCTGGCTACGAGACGGCTCCGTCGTCGGCCTCGTCGTCTTCCCTGGAAGATGGCAATAAAAACGAGGGCGTCTTTGTTGCGCCAGAGGCGTTGGAGGTGTACCGGCCCGTCGAGGGTTTTGAAGGCACGCATCGATTCGATCCCTCGGCCACATGGTCATACGAGGAAGAGGAGCAGCTCGTGAAAAAGGTACATGGACTCGTCCGGAATCTCTGATATCGTCATGCTGACTCGCAGGCTAGCTCAATTGGAAAATCGCCCTGCCAGCATGCATCATGTTCTTTGCCTTGCAGCTCGACCGTGGCAACATCTCGCAAGCATTGTCCGACAACATGCTGGGTATGCTCCCGACGTTGCGTCTCATTGAGGCAAACCATCAATGATAGAAACTGACGCTCCCTCTAGGCGATCTCGGAATGAACACAAACGACTACAACAATGGCCAGACCATCTTCTTCTGCTCCTTCCTCTTTGCCGAGCTGCCCTCGCAACTCATCAGCAAGAAACTCGGGCCCGACACCTGGATTCCCATCCAGATGGTGTCGTGGAGCGTCGTCGCCGCGGCGCAGGCTGCCCTCAGCGGCCGGTCGAGCTTCTACGTGTGCCGCTTCCTGCTGGGCCTCATCGAAGGCGGCTTCATCCCCGACGTGATCCTCTACCTGAGCTACTTCTTCACCAACCCGGAGCTGCCGCGGCGCCTCAGCTGGTTCTGGACGTCGTACCAGTCGACCCAGATCGTGGGCGCCTTTCTCGCCTACGGCATCCTGCACCTCCGCGGCCGGGGCGCGCTCGGCGAGGGCTGGCGATACATGTTCCTCATCGAGGGCATCTTCACCGGCCTCATCGGCGTCTGGACCTGGCTGTACCTCCCCGCGTCGCCGACCCAGACCGCCCGCGGCAAGTACAAGGGCCTGCTCCGGCCGCGCGAGGGCTGGTTCACGCCGCGCGAGGAGGTCATCATGGTGACGAGGATCCTGCGCGACGACCCGGGCAAGGCCACCATGCACAACCGCCAGGGCCTCAGCTGGTCCCTCTTCAAGGACGCCCTCCTCGACTATCACCTGTGGCCCATCTACCTGCTCGGCCTGACCTGGAGCATCCCCGTGACGCCGCCCCAGGCCTACATCACCCTGACCTGCAAGGCGCTCGGCTTCAACACCTTCGAGACCAACCTGCTCACCATCCCCGCCTACACCATCTTCATCCTGCAGCTGCTCTTCTGGACCTGGGTCTCGGAGAAGGCCAACCAGCGCGTGCTCATCGGCCTCGTCACCCAGTTCTGGGCGCTGCCCCTGCTCATCGCCCTCGTCGCCCTGCCCACCGTCTTCCCCAACAGCAACTGGTCCAAATGGGTCTTGTCGACGCTCCTCGTCGGCTACCCGTATTGTCACGCCGTCCTGGTCGCCCTCACTTCGCGCAACTCGGGCTCCGTCCGCACTCGCACCGTCGGCTCGTCCCTGTACAACATGTCGGTGCAAATGTCGAATATCTTTGCCTCGCAGATTTACAGGGACGACGACAAGCCCTACTACTACAGGGGGAACAAGATCCTGCTGGGTGTTCTGGCCTGGAACGTGGTGCTGATTATCGGCATCAAGGCCTACTACGTGCTGGTCAATGAGCGCCGCGACAAGATTTGGCTGTCCATGACGCGGGAGGAGCGGGTTCACTATTTGAATACCACCAAGGACGAGGGCAGTAAGAGGTTGAATTTTAGATTTGGACATTAGCCGGTTCTTGACATGCGCGTGTGGTTATTATAGATGTCGACGGGGGGTAGATGTGCTTGATGATGTTTCTTTTCATAGACGAAACGCAAATATAGAGCGCGGTAGACGGATTTTTTTTTCTTTTGGCTATTCTTGAGTCGACTTGGCCTAGGCAAGTACCTGGGAGAGTCGTAATTGTACTCCAGAGCGTTTTGAGAGCGCTGTCGAGTGCCCCCATGAGGTCTCTGACGGAATCATGGCTCGATCCAATTCGGGATGCAATTCAACCAATTTTCCGCAAGCCAGAGGATGAGATCCCGTCTGTGATCTTCGGCAATAATTTCCCTCCTTGTGATATCCTTAAACAAGCCATGCTGAGCGCACGTAATAACGAGTGAACATGCACATCCGTCAAATATCCAGGCGAATTCCAAGCTTGGTAGAAACTGGCACTGGGTATTGAAATAACGCTCATCGCTTCTTCAATTGAGAGTACATTGTCAATACATTTCGCCACTTGAAAGGATTCATGAGTACAACTATCAACCTGTTGTACGTGCACAGATCTTGAAACGTCTCTGCCTCATTCAAGTTCAGACGTCGTTAGTCGCAGATTCGGCTTATTTGTCGTCGTCTTCCCGTTTTGCTTGGAATTCTCCCTTGTTATTCGCCCAGTGGCCTAGCGTCATTCCTTAAGTGTTTAGGATCCCATCCCACGGTCCCCAAGCGGCGCTACCAATGACACGAGGAAAAGAAATTACAGTGCAGTGTATTAAGTTGAGGGGTATTTGTATGTTTGGTCTTTGGGGCAGTCAGACATCACAACAAAGGGGATTGTGGCTCGTGCTGCTTCCACCTTTCACCGCAAACACATTCGAGTGGACCAGGTGCCCTCGAGCTCGGTTTATGGTCGCGTCACAGGAGGCGGATCCTCACAAGCTCCGTCACAGTCATTTAGGATGGCATAGTGAGCGGTAGTTCTCAGCTGAGGAGACACATGGCGGCACGGCCCTCAAACCCGTCCCCGGTCTAGTTGCACCATGCGGCGTTTTTGCTTGGCTTGTTCGGTACGACGGTGCGGGCAATGTGGTCTGGTGAATGGTGTCAATATGTTAAATGCATAGCTGTAGGTTTGGGAGGGTTACCGACATGTAATTATTCTTGCTTCTTGGGAGCGGTGGAAGACGGCCGGGCTGCAGCGGCCATTGCCGCAGCAGAAGCAGCTCGGAGCTCTTTGTAAGCGGCCCTGTACTCGTGGGCTATCTCCCTCTTCCTAGCGTTCGGAATGGTCCAGTCGCTCTTCGCAGCCTGACGGATGGCTGAAATCTCGTCGTATTTTTTCTGGTAGTCCGCTACACTCAGCATGGTGGCGGATCGATGACCAAAGTGATGAGAAGTGATGACTGTTTTCGAAAGGATGCGTGTGGGGTTGAGTGGTTGAGTTGCTGGAGAACGGGAAGAGACGTTGGGAGATCTCTCTTCTGACGTCTGGTAGACTAGACTGTCACGTGCTGGCATCATGCCAACCACAGAAACACAAGTGGCCAACAAAACACGGAACAGTGAACTACTATTATTCCGAATTTTCGATGGAAAAGGAGTGTTGCGATTAAGATTGCTTCTATTCAATTCTGGCTGACAGCTCTCCCACATACACCTAGTGACACAAATAACTATCACACAACACATTGGATAATTGGGCAACGATCAGAAATCGCCCGTGAACCGGGCAACGAGACTATTAATTTCCTGCTTGAATGAGAGTATCGATACGGAAATTAAATACTGCCGTCATCTTGAAAGTAACTCTGCCCCCAACTTGCGTGCCGCAATTGTTGAAAAAGAGGCAGCAACAGGAACACCAAACTCTCCCCCGATCAAAACCAGAGTGTTCTCCTTTGCTTAGTTTTGGTTTTCATGCAGCTTCCACTGGCTCTTCAAGCTACTTGTGTCTCCAGAAGTTGGCGCGATACGTGTCAGCAACGAGCCTTCTTCAACCGTAACCCTCATGCTTTAGGAGCCCTCCCAAACGCCGTTACCGTTGACGGAAGCAGCGGGTACAACGCCAGGTTGGTTCAGGTCACCGTCGATAATGGGGCCGTTATTAAAAGTGAGTTTGAATGTAGTGGTGCCTATCTGGCCGCTGAAAGTACGGGTTGACGTGAGCTCGTCTAGGTTATTGTATGCGAGCTTGGTATTGTTTGTGGTGAAGGCTGGGAGGGATGGGCTGACTGTCGCGGGGAAGTTGTATGCGCGCCCATCAATTGTGAAGCTGGCAGTGAGCCTATTGCCACTCTCTCGGATGAGTGATCCGTAGGCAGTCTGACTCATGGCGGGCCGAGGGTGAAGATTAAACACTTGGTGATGATATTTGCGTACGTTGAATGTTGCTTGTTGGATGATTGATACTGTGGACGAGAGGGCGAGTTGAGCTATCGAGTGGGAGACGGATGCCTTTTATGCTTGAGACTCTGTCTGTTTAAAGCATTGATCCTACGCGCAACCCTTTACGGAGTCCAAGAGGCATTTCGTCCACGGCACACTTTATTGACCAGTCAGTGTTATGGTCACCAAGCGGCCTGATGTGCATCTCGGCATGTCAGGAAACAGATCATTCTCACATGAGAGCTAAACCGCATATCCAAAAGCTTACTTCGCATAAGTAGATGCTTGTCCATTGCAGCCCAGGGTGGCAGACATGCCAATCCCTCGCTCGAATTTTCTCGTCTCGCGTCAATTCCAAGCACCCGAATGATAACATTTACAACATATCACATGCAGCTAGTAAATGCGGTCACTGTCGCCGGATTGTGGCTAGCTGAGCAGCCTCGTCTTTGCATACGGCTGAGACCCCCGGCTTCATCCCGCGAGTATGCCGTCTGGTGTAATGAGACAGTCCCCGTAATAAGGCATGTACTAGACCGGCATTTATTCGGGGATTGAATATGATGAATATCAAGCATCTTTGCAATTCCATGACATGAAGCACATACATCAATTGACATATTATGCAGTTATGGTGATACGCTTCTACGGACCACTAAACACGCATCCCTCACTTTTTCATCATCTATTCCGCACGAGGTACCTTCACATATTTTTTTGCTATAAAAATACTAAGAAAAATTTCACCTTTTTATTAGTACATAACGCAACTATAAGCCGCCAGCACAGTAATATTAATAACCGGATTTAAATAATGATAGACCTTAAAAACGCATTTTTAACCGTAAATTACATGCCAAGGCAAGCATTAATAAGGCCATAAAATTAAATAGACGTAAGCCACAGTGAATTTATGCGGGTAGAGCGTCCATTTAGCTAACGCGGGATGCATGATCAAAAAATGAGGGACGCGTGTTTACTGCTCCCGCTTCTACGTAACGTGACAATCTTCTCTTCTCTCCACCTAGCTGTCTCGTCTTTGAGACTCTGCATGGGGGTTTAAGGTGGCGCCAGTAGGAATGGTGTCATCATGTTTTAACCAGTTGCCGGCCCGTATATATGATCTGTCAATATGTATGTGTCAGCCAACACCGCCTCTATTAATTGAAGACGCATACGCCACGTGTGATTTCCGCCCAACGACTTTCGGGTCTGCGCCCAATATACCTGCCGTCGAACCGTGGTCGTATTGTCTTAGATACCTCATGATTTGCACAGCACGAATCGAGTCAGGATAATTGATAGTTGTCAATATTTACAGGCTGCCGTGGCTGCGCGGAGTAACAAGGGCTTATATAGACGGCTTGAAGCAGATCACTAGTTTCAATAATACCATCGTAGGGTCTCAAAGGTCCTTGGTTCTCAAGAGAAAGGAAGGGACTAATGACCACTATATGTACAGAAAGAAACGCTCGTGCCTAGGGCCTATGCCCAGATACGTGTTCCAGTCGTGTAACCAAGTCCCCGATCGGGGGGCCTCTCTGTTGGCCTCGCGATCTTGCTGGGCTTTCTCCGTGCAACAGTTGCCCACGCATAGTCGAGCTTTGTGACACGGCAACCATCGTGGACGGGCCGTACCAGTATCGGGTGTTGAGACGAGGCGAAATGCAACGCCGTCATGTCTGGAAAAGGCCGTCGTCGCCAGCCACGCAAGACTACCGAGTGTACTCCGTACTTGGCGAATTTAATCAGGCTGGTAGAATCTAGACTGACTGGTCTTATTAGACGTGCGCAATAAATGACCCATCATACATTCCAAGTGAGTTTCTTAGGACTTGCATAAACGGGGTCATGACGCTGATGCTGATGATGTTGCCAGAGACAAAAGTTGCCGTCATACATGTCGGCAAGAATATGGTGGGAGCAGCCCGAATGCTCCTCCAAGTGTCCTATCCACTATGTATTGGCTATAGGCTGATTGTGCGACAATGTCGTGGGCAATGTCTTTGGAGGGTTGCAAGTCCCCGCTGGTGGCTTGTGACGGGCGGTGATGGTGTGGTTTTTTAGTCATCAATGGATACAACGAGACATGCAGTGTAGTATATCTGCATACTTACTTTTTTGTTTGAGACTACTACTACATTACATAATGCAGCCAGTCAAACTGCGCACGTCATGGCAATCTGGCTCACTTGGTAAGACGGAGATGAAAGTTCAAACTCAGCCCGACAGTGGTGCTCTCTTGCCTCTCTGCTTTGCCTACATGTCGAAAACCGTATATATAGGCCTATCACGTCAATCCCGGCCGTATCACGTCGGTCTATCGAGCCTGAGCCTCGTCAGTCACTCACACAAGCACCGTCTCATTGTTTTGCTTCTCTGAACTGTCGAGTTGGCGTGTTTTAATACGACGCAATTCATCTCTCATAAAGCAGAGATTGCTGATTGGATCCTCCTGCCGTGTTACTCCTTGTCAGCATGGGCATCATGAGTACCAGACGTAATCGGCCCGAAAAGCTTCCGCCGCAGCCTAGAATCGGGGATACAAGTCTTGAAGCGACCAACAGCTGTCTCTACGTAGCTTTGAAAGGGGAATGCGATACAAGTATAACAGGGGCCAGGAATACCTCAACCGGAAAGAGGGGCAGTTTCGAGTTACGTCTTTTCTTTGAAGCTTAGAAATCAAAAACCAAGGCCCGAGCTTACTCGTGCTACTCGACTCTGCAGAGCCAATCATATGTACATCCTTCGCAGTTGTGTACATGCTGCTTGATTACACAAGACCATTCTGCGCCCCCGGCGCTGTTGGTAGGTGCTGAATTCATTTAATGATTCCAAATGGTAGTACACTCCGGGTTACACTACAGTCCAGCACAGCCTTGAACAAGTCAGCACTTCCAACACGTGTAGGGCAAGTCCGGCAGGGGTGGTTCTATACTCTTGATATACGGACACTGTTACAGTCCAAGCGAGTATATTGACAACTGGCTAGGCGATTACTACGAGTATCTAAACGCTAAACAAGAAAGAGAAAACAGGACAATATGTGTATCCACTAAGTAGCAGACGCAGCGGCGCCGACCGTTTTTCGTCAAGTTTTACTTTTAATTAAATCTATGCTTATAGGGTGCTACCGTAAAAGACTCGGGCTCGATGCAAGCAGCCTGATTAACCGCGAAAAGATCGCTACGGAAATGCCAAAACATAAGGCAGTATGACAGCCGAGTGGTAAACATTCCGTCCCCTGGTTCAGGCTTTCACAAAGAGCTTGAAGCCCACTTTCATAGTACGCACAGTCGTGAGAATGGCGGTGGAAGCAAAGAACATGACTCCACACCAAACGATCAGACCGGTCCAGTTCCTATTATTGCTGTCCCCGAGAATAGCACCCGCTACAGGGCTGCCGATGAGTGCGCCGAGCCCAATGATGGCAAAACTCATTCCCAATCGTGTTGCCCAGACACTCTTATCGGGCGATAGGCTCGTCACTATCGGGATAGGAAGAGAGACGTAAGGGGCCGAGACGAAACCGTAGACGACGGTGAAGGCAACGACGCCACCTGTGGTCTTGATGCCCAAGAGAGCAAAAGCCAAGGCCCCAGAAATGACTCCGAATATAATCTGCACATTCATGAGTCCATAGCGCCCGGCCATCCAGTTGGGGATGAGACGGCCGAAAAAGGATCCGGCGTTGAGGATGGCGAGGAGGTACTTGGCAAGACTCTGGTCGGTACCGGCCACTTCGGTGGCGTAGAGGGAAATATAGTAATAGAAGACATAGAGTCCCAGGAAATTGACAAAGAAGCTCAGACAAGCAACGAGGTAGAGCTTGTCCTTGAACTGTCTGAGCTCAATGACTTTTCTCTTTGGTGGATTCTGTCCAACTCGTACTCGCATCACGGCAGCAGCGAAGAGCATGGTACCGAGGACCATGAAGCCCATGATGCGTACCGTCCATGGAAATCCAATCTGTTCTGTAAGGCGTTGAAGCATTATGGGGTATATGACAGCACCTGAAGAAGACTTAGGTGCGTGTTCCTTTCCCAGAGGACCATCAACTTACCAATACTCGATCCGCTCACCGCGATTCCAATGGCGAGAGGAGTGCGAGTAGAAAACCACTGCGACACGAC